TTGTTAGATCGTTGCTCGCGTGCAAACGTGTGCTCGTGCAGATGGGGCTTTATGCACACCCCCATGCACGTCATCTTCAATATGGAAGGCACGTGTAATTTAGTCGTAGATGATAATCTAGAATGTGGCCATCTACTTGATCATTGTGTCGATTTAAACTCGACACCATTAACTCCCAACACAGCTAAAATGATTTACATTGAAAGTAACATATGTGCGTTTAAACTTTTCACTGATGACTCAACTAATAGTTGTTGAAACTACACGAATGAATTACATCCAAGTTATAGTTTTTATTTTATTTTAAATATAGGTTAGTATTACTCCAACTTTAAATCTTCGTCAAAATTAAAAAAAAACCACCCGGAAGTTAGTCATATTTCAACTCTTCATTCTTTCTCGATTCTACATTTTAATCGATAATTCATTTATTTGATAGATTCCTTAATTCAAACCGCATGTATAGTTTTGTTTGACAATACAATCTAATTATAGAAAATTGAATGATAAATATCGGTATAATGCTATAATCGGTATAAAATGATCTAATTTGATTTTACGTTTGCTTGTGTTATAAAAAGTAAAAGTACCCGTTTATGTTCGGTTGTACAGTTTAATGTGAGGTTAATGAGTTTTAACACCGCGTCCCATCTTTCTTCGTCATTTCTACAACTGCAAGAAATCAAAATCCCGTGTTCCAATAGCATAAACGATTATAGAAAATACACAAAAATTATTTAATAAGCTTTAATCATATATGATCGATTTAGTTTGAAAAGATGACATCCGTAACCTTGACTAGAACGGAAATTGATCATTTTCAGTTTTAAAATTAATTCAATTATTTTCGTTTTGTGATCGATTATCCATAATAAAATATCTGAAAGTACATAGAGCAAGTACGCAAAGCTTGATGATGGATCATTACAGGTTAAAGAGACACAATCATTTTTGTATCACCTTTTGTCATATATCAATTTTAAATTGGGATGAGTTTGATCAAACTTAGTCCACTAATTAATTAAACTATGATTTTAAAGGCCGTTGTCAACAATTTAAAAAAAAACAAAAAAAAAACTGTATAATTTCAACAAATAGTTATTAAAACAACCATGTGTGAAACATACAATCCACCAGAAACATACACAAATAGTAATGGTCATTTTTAATTCGTCTAATTAAAGACATGCGAAGTCATTAGCCCGAAACTATGGAGTGAACAGGAAAAACCCTAACGTTTTAGCATTTGTTGTATAGATAACCATATATGTTAAAATATGTAATATATTCCACTACATTTATTCGTCGGGTGTGTGCTACCCTGAAATCTTGATTCGTTTTAACAGTGAGGAATAAATCACAACTTGGATATTGTTTTTACCAGGAATACTCTATTTTAAAATTATGTGGGTCCATATACAAACTTAACCCACAAAAACTTGAGAAAACTACGTCCAAAGTTTGAACAGCTCAATACCCAAAGTTATGAGATATCTTTTTAAGAATTATATTCATGTGAAAATGGAATTGTGAACATGAATAAATTATATTGTAGAACTCATTTATAACCACGTGTGTATACAGTGTCACAGAATTATACAAATGCACATGACGCCGTGCCTCAAAAGATTTCATCGTCATACTCTTATCTTTTTGTTATATCGGATTAGAACTTATACAGAAAATAAGAAAAAAAAATAAATGTAATCTCAGGCGTGACTTACATCCGTATAGCATTAATATAAATCTGCTTTATCTAATCCGTATTGCACGTATCTAATCCTCGATTATAATATTGAAGTTTCGTCACAAGCTATAAATGGGCTACGTTATATTGAATTGTGTATTTATTACTTTTTAATAAAGTGCCAGTCCCCCCCCCTCCCTCTCTCTCTCTTTCTCATGATTATACTGTTTCCAACATCATTTATAAATTCTTGCCGACTTCTTTGGGAGGAATTGCTTTCTATGGAGTCTGGGAGCATGACAATTTTCTGGTAGTTTGCTTTTCTAGCCATTCTAGTGCGGTTTTAATGGCCATCTAGTATATGGCGTTCCCCGGGCAGTGCTCTGGTAACTTTTCTGGATGTTTAGTTTTGTTGTGGGGATGTAAATATCGTAACCTGGGGTGCCTATTGTGAAATCTTTTGACACATCAGTGTGTATTTTGAGATGACTGGAACTTTTCGGATAGTTCCATTCCACTGGATTGTCTCATTTGCTGGTTGTTCTGTTATGCTTGTATTTGTTGTTATGATTCTTTTGTATTTCATTCGTCAATTGCCTATCACCTATTCTTTGAAAGTGGCTTAAGCATTTGAAAGTCGGACAACTGACGTTTAGTGTTTGTAACTTTCACCCAGTGATTCTCCATCCTCATATAATGGATAATAGTTATTTCCTTATTCCCGATCGTGTGGCTATTTTTATTACTTTTTTGTATTAGATCTAGTCTGTGTTGTTGATGATCATACGTAGGTAATAATTAATTAGCTATGTGAGCCCAAATCAGAGGTAGTATACACACGTATAACACAGCATTGATATACTCATAAGAGCAAGTGCAAGCAATGTATAATGTAAAAAGATATGTCAACGACATTATTTATTTATTTATTTATTTATTTTGTGAGTGTGACCCAGACACTTCACGTATTGTATCCCGGAAAAAAAACACAGCACGTGCTAAATATATTGACCAGTTCTTTTTCCTCCTAAGTATATATTTATCATGACTATCTTTGTCAATCTTCCTTGTTCCTACGAGCTTAAATAACTTTACAAAAACTTAATATGATTAAACAGTTTTACAATATTAATTTCACATTTATCAAAGCTTTATTTTATAACAATACACGCTGACAATCTGTCGTGACTTCTAATATTAAAGCCATGACTTGTGTCAAAATATTAAAGTTGTTATTTAGATACATAACAACCATATATGATACGTAACAATGATATATTGTGTGTGTAATCCTATTAGGAATCTGTTTTATATAATTTAAGTTCCTATAGAACAATTAAGAAGATCGTTACCAAGGCTTTTACTAAGTGATTTCCATAGTAACGTGTTGACGAAATGTCCATCATTATTCAGTTATTTAAAGGGGGGAGAGAGAGAGAGTGAGAGAGAGAGAGGGGGAGAGATGTGGATATAATGCCCACTCGACACAAACTAGGTCATTTCGGGAATAACATGTTACAAATTTATTTCAATAATTCGCGTGTAATCCTACAATTTGTGTATATGACTCTTTAGCGGTGGGATGAAACCGGATGACCATGAGAAAACTCTCTAGATTTGGCAGGCAGCGCTTTTCCTTGGCACGTAAAGCTTGGGGTTGAAAGCCCGTCTGTTGACTAAATTGCAGAACTTATGATCTAAAGCGCATACATTGTTGACTAAATTGCAGAACTTATGATCTAGAACGCGTACATTAGATCACTCTACTTTGTGAGTGATTTTGCAGGCATCGATTATTAATTATGAATGCAGTCTGGTTGGATGGTTGGAATTCAGGTCGGCATAGAGTGGGATTTCGGTTACAAAACCATTGGACAACTTTAAAGTTGCTTAACTCACGGGCTAGAATAGCAGAAAAACGCATTTGCGGCGGTTAGATTTTCAAAATTTTCTTATGGAGGGTGAGGCCCCCATACCCCACGACGATTGATTGGTTGTTTGGGATTCAGGTTAGCCACCTATAAGGTAGGCTATATTGGACCACACTGAAGTTACTAGAATAGCAGAAAAATACGTTTGCGGCAGTTAGATATTCAAAATTTCCTCCCGACGGTACTGTCTCCGTGGACTGTAAACGATTGATTGGTTGATTGGGGGGTTCCTACACGTTAAGTTACGCTCTCACAGAAGACCGGCGCCGCCGCCTGTAACCCGAAATTTTTTCGGGCATTTCGGGTTCTGCCCCCCCCCCCCCAACTCTCATCGAACCCGTACGCCTATGAATGAAACTCACACATTATGTTCAGAAAGTAAAGAATTGGGGTTGGGTTTCAAATCTGACACGTAGCAATGGCTAAATGGGCGGCTTCAGGATACAGTGATCAGGAGCCATAGGGACTAGCCGACATTTATAAATAAAACCATCTCAAAATCTCAATCCGTGTGGGGCGCTTATACACGGTTTCAGTGACAGGAACAGTTGGCGGTTTTTGTTGACGTTTTGGTGTAGAGTGTACATTTTCTACCAGGTTTTGGTGAATATTTGAGGCGGAAGGATGACAGGGTTAAGAGGTTGGTTACGTTACAATGTAGGGCGGACAGTTGCATGTTTAGTAGTATGCTACTTCCAGTTTGTGTATCTCAAGATTTCCATGGTGAACCCCATAAATGCTTTTGAGCAAGAGGTTGCCAAATATTGCTCCATCTGTGGTAGAAAGCGTTCAACCCCACGAAAATTTGGGGAAAGTTACAGTCGGATAAGGAGACGAGAATTAACATTATAGTTAATGGGGAAATTAATGGTGGTCTGTGACCAGGCCGACAATACACCCATGACCTGTAGCGAGCGTGCAGGAATTGTGGACAGATTGATGGACATACCTATGGCAGTTGTGGCGGCAATATAATAATCAGAACTATGAGCCTATACAGTATAAAAACTAATTGCGATTCGGATTCTCTACCTTAAAGCATGTCTGAAACCTAAACGCAATGGGCGAATCATCGGTTTGGGTACGACACATTTAAACGGCGATAACCATTCTATATCGATTCCCGCAACAGTCGAGCAGAAGTCCAATATTTCCAGTGCATTGGGTCTTTTTCCGGAAATATTGCCAATTTGGTTTACTGTAACTTAAATTTCAAGTAAATGAAAATTACCTAATTACTAAAGCCAAACCGAACCTTCAGAATGTGGTGGTGGGGGGCGGCTCCTGGTGGAACAATACAACCTATGTAAATTACGATCAGATCCAATACAAAATCTTATCATATTTGCAAACCCAACAACACTCCATAAATACAAAACTAAGATCATATTTTTTTTATTTTTCATTTTTATTCATAAAAAAATCATATTCATATTTATTCTTATAAAAGACAAGTTTTTAACACAAACTGAAAAATATTTTTCAGATTATTTAATGTAAGATGAACAAAATGTATCTGGGTGGGGGGGGGGGGGGTGATATGAAAGCTTACAAACATATTTCTGTATTTAAAAAGTATAAAAAGATATACTGCCGTTCAGTTTTAATATCATTGTCATCCATTTCATTTTGATTGACTGACAAGTGACAATAGATCTGATATGTTCTGGAAAATTGTCGAATAGCACAAATTCAAATATTCATTTTGATTTTTAATTACTAGATAGAAAAAACAAATGTTAGCACAATGCGATTTGGACAAATTTTGTTTACATAATTTCGATATTTGCGTAGGATTTGTATATGATGTCAAATATATATGTAAGTGACAAAATAGAATATTGCACGATTTCTTGTAAAATGATATACTAGTATACATGGATTACAATATGATTGGCACATGTCTGACTAATGAAATATACGTATTCTTGTGTTTAATATAATTTAATAAATAATGAAATAATTTATATGATATTTACATTTGAAAAGGTGTAAGTATATAAGTATAATAATGTACACAATATGTATATTATTCAACAATACATCTCGGGGTATGTATGCAATTAAATATGTATATATACATTAATAGTTCTATTATCTGCATAGTATACGATGGTCTATGGAGATGAATGAATCAATGGATTGTCCTATTAAATTATAAGGCAATCACGTGAAATTAGAATGAGAATGGGGCGGGATATTCAAAATGATTGACATATAATAATATGTAGACTTCAGATTGTCAATTTCAACGTCACAACAATCAAATGTGTGTACAATACAATGAAAATAAAAGATACGCACAAAAACATAATGTTCAACACAACACGTAAATAATTTTACAGAGCACCTTAAAGATGTCAACATTCTTAACATATGAAACATTTGCACTTAGGATCTTAATGATATTAACAACTTTGAGACTTAGAGGTAGTTCATTTTATTACAACAGAATTTTCAGTAATTTGGAGGAAAAAAAGATAAATTTATGATTTTTATTAATATACTAGCCTCTTTGAAATCTTATGGAATGGTACATCTTACTCAAATTTAACATAATTAATGTATTTAATGAGAGTTGAGATTAGGAAAAGGGGGTATACGGGGAAGGCATACATACAGGTATCTATTATGTGGGTAAAGTATATTTATAAAGTAAATCTTTATTTACCACCCTTTCTCTCTGAACTTTCTCCCATGTTAGCTAAATAAACTGCTGTTAAACTGAACAAGATAAATTCAACACTACAGCAAACATATACCGTGTATCTCAACCGTGAGTCAGATGTTTAGAATGAGGCGAACCTCTCATCTAAAACTCCGTAATTCCCAAGCCATGTAGAATTTACCTACATTCAGCTTACATACAAATGTATAGCCCGTGAGAGAGAGAGTTAAGAAAAAGTGAGTCAAAAATTCCACAAGTTAATATCATTCAAACACGAGCGATAAAATTAACTGCAAATATAGAGCAGTGTGTGGAAATTACACTGGGCGTGTCTAAAGACGTACGGAACCGTTTACGTGAATTGCATGTATGTATTTTGGTCCGTATACTTTAATTCAAAGACTTATATGGATGAAAATAATACATATGTCTTATTTTGTATTATCATGTGTGAACTCGATGCATTGTATTTTTTGGCAGTTTTATCAATATGATTTATGATTGTCAGGAGATGTGACAAAGGCACTGAAATCTACAATTGTAACAAGATGGGGTGTTTAATATCAGGAATGTCGTTCTTCCGTGCCTATGTTTCATGATTTCAGATGATCGTCAATTGTTTGTTCCGCCATATAAGATATTCATACATACTATAAGATGGGCTTCCATGATGTTGTAGACACACGTCACACGCAATGAGTTCTTTTGGGACATTAACTCATATTAAGTCAATTGCACACGTTTTTTTTTTACTAAACAGTTTCTTTCTTTCATGGATATATTCATGTATATACTTAGTATATATCATATTGTCTTTTACAATGAATTGCCGAACTGTATGACTAGACGACGATGGACAATGGACACAACTGTCCGTATGTCACACACTGCTTTCAATTCCCTGTAAACGTGGCTGTAAGATGCGTAAGGAATCGCCTTGGTTTAAGTCTCTTTCAAATTCCATCAACTGTCCCATAAAATTAAAGTTCGGTGAAATAATTGGGCGTTTGCCCTTCACATATTTGTAAGCATCCGTCATGGTCATTTTCGTATGTTTAAGGATGTAGGCTATTGTTAAAGTAGCCGAACGCGACACACCAGCTTGGCAATGGATGAGAACACGGCGATTATTTTGGCGAGCATCATCTGAAATAGAGAATAAGAAAACATTAAATATTTATTGAGAAAAATAATCTAGTTTGGTTATTAAGCACTTCACAAGTTCTTTTCAAATGGGTTTCAGGTAATTTTCAAGATGCAAAAATATGCATTGTGCTAAACTCGGGTAAAGTGTTTTAAAAAACGAATGCAAGTCTAGAATATTTTTTCTCTTCAACGAATCAAGTGATGACTTTTTAAAGGTAATTTTATCGTTCAGTTCCCAATTCATGCTAGAATAACTGCTGATTTAAACTTATTTTAGAGAGAGAGAGAAAAACATCTTGTATGGAGTGCTAATTAAATTCTCGAGTTGCTAGAAATGAAGGTTGAAAAGATATTTCTTCCATTTGTAGCTCGTTATGAAATAAAACCTACAAGAATCAATAGCGATGACAACATATTTATTTATAGAGCACAATTTTGCAGAGCTGAAGAAAATCGATGTCTTTTACCATGAATAGACTGGTGGCTTATACAATATGATGGAATCAACTTAATACATATCCATACATTCTAATAACTATGTGTGTTGTATGGCTTGCCTTTCGTTTCCCCCCTTTCCCCATACAGATGTTCAATGACTGACATCTCATCCCCCGGCTAAGTTATCCCAAAGAGGGCACTTTGAAATGAGATATTTGGAGTTGTAAATTGAAAATAATTTTAATAAATTTGATACAAGGCATTGACATTTTGTTTGCAGGAAGATGCGTATTCCCATAAGGTCCGTGGTCTTGTCAACACATTCTGGGTTTTTTTTACAGGGAGAGAGATATCCCTCGGAACATATAATTTTAATACGTGCCAGATGTCAATAATATATTTTGTATATAAAGTTATAATAGTATATAAGTTATGACTCATAATATAAGTAGAACTTGCAGCTGTCAAGAGTATGTATCACTGTTTTTGTCAATATATGGTATAAACCAATAAAGGACGTATCAGGAAATTTTTCCATTTTAAGCTAACCAGTTTACTTACACAAAAAATAACCATATGGTCCAAATATTGATTTGAGCGATTTCAAGGATATTTATAAGTTAGGATTAAGGTCAACTTTTAATCTCATTTTTAAATCTTAAGATTCCCAAAATGTCTATAATATGGTTTTAAACCTTCAAAATTTTTTATGATACTTTCTGTTTTTTTTCACATTTAACATTATCAGCATCTTAAATTATTGGTCGTATGATTGTTAAGTCCATAGCAATTTTGTCGGAATTAAGTTCAGACGAACAATTAGTAAAAATCTTTTTTACTACTGTTATCACAATGTCCATTATCTAACAATATGTTACCTGTAGATCTATTATTGCATAGAAACCATTCATTATTGAAGTCATTTACCGAACTTTAGTCATTCTAATTACCCATTAATATCAATCATAAATTATCATATTGCTGTGTGACATATGTCTTTCTCCCTTCCAACTTTCTTCCTATTTTTTTTATTATGAATGTTAAATTGTCTATGATTACTCTGCCATTGTCACAGGTGAACGCGTTTTTCTAAAACAATAATTCTATTGTTTTGGGGTTTTCGAATCAATAATGCAAGTCAATATTTCTTGGACATCAACGTTAAAATTTCCACCTGAACAAAGGTATAATTTGGAGCGCTTAATGTTAGTTCACCTATGACTCATATGACGCGTGTTGATTTCGCTCTTTTTTTCCTCTTCGTCGCTCCACACGAGGCTCAAACATCTGTCGATGACCTTTTGACCTACAGGTAATTAAAACCTGAAGTGCATCTTGTGATATGTTTCCATGGTAACATAACCATAACTTTATGAGTCACCGTACCTGAGTTTTTATTAATCATAATTAGAAGCTAATCAAGTCACGTGGTGTTCACTGACAATGTAACTGTAATTAAACTACGTAACAAACATTGCTATTAGCCATTCTTCCTAGGGGAAACCAAATCAGCAATTAGCAATGCCTTTGAGATTTTCAATATTAACATTTATAAAATAGCCTAGTTTCTTTGTATTCAAATTAAAGGATATTGTGACTTTGTGTGAATGAGTAGTTTACGGACAAAAATTTTTTTTAAAAAGAAATATTGTCTGTTTTAACATAAAGTGAATATGAAAAAAACAACATTTTCTTTCCGAAATATTCTTTAAAGGTTATTTGTTATTTGATCGAAGTTTTGTTACCTTGAGATTTAACTTTAAACTAAGATTACTTTGGAACGATATTATCTAATGTTCTACAAAAAAGAGTTTATTTTGGCTAATCTTGCCTCCAAGATAAAGACAACCCCGCCGTCTTGTGAAATACTGCGATCACTAACAGTCGATGATAACATTTGCTTTAATCCTCGAATTTGTTGACAGTCGACTTAAATGTATTTGAGGGAGTATTGGAATGGGTCGTGACCTTGGCAGTGTCGATTTAGGTACGCAACGAGAGTTTATTCATTCCATTTGGTGACATGTCAAAATGTCAGTTTCAACAATAACAGTGAGCTATGTTTATTTATGCCATGTTTGTTTTGTCTCGGTTGTGTAGATAGGGCGTCAAATAGGTTAAGCAATCGTCACAAGGAATGTCCATTGCAAATTTCCTAGTATTTGTGTACATTTTCATTCCAAAAAACAAAAAAAAGGGACGCGTTTCCGAATGCAGTGTATCAGTTTTACATTTTCATCTTTATCGATAAGGTCAACGTGTTTTATGTCTAAAGTCAGGAAATGCGAGCTCGCATGTGAAAAGCTCTGCAAAATGTGCTCCATAAAAATATACTGACATTTCAGTAATTGATATAATCTATATATACTAATGCATATATATATATATATATATATATATATATATATATATATATATATATATATATATATATATATATATATATGTGTGTGTGTGTGGGTGTGTGTGTGTGTGTGTGTGGGTGTGTGTGCGTGTGTACTTACCAATAAATTCGATGGCTTCTTCAAAATATTGTTTAAGATTTTGCTGACAACTGTCTGAGGCGGGGATACGGCGGTATTTAATTCCTTGATTTTCAAAATAAAGAGGCACGTGTGACGTCACATTGAGGACATACTTGATATTATTGGATTGTAGACGTTCGAGATTGGCAGCATCACGCTCATTACCTGTCAATTAAAGATGTAAAATATAAATAACTAGATAAATAATAAATAACACATAATAAATAAATAAAGGGGAAATAATAAAATTAATTTATATCGAAGTCCACGAATGATTAATATTTTCTCTTTTTTATTAGTTACAAAATTTGGAATTGAATGATGAGTGGTACTGTGTGACATAAGGAAACATTATTGTTCAGATATTGCTCATATCTCCTATGTGTATCTGCAGCTAAATTTAGCGTAATAATAACACATTTGAATTATTATTAATATTTGTAGAACATGAAGCTACCCGTATGGAACCGCTGGTGGGGTTCTCGTGAGATCCGACCCCATATAATCAGCGCCATATTTCTGTCAGTGATATTTGTCAAAGTGCTATAAATTAATTTCATGTGTCACAGTGAGTCATTCCAGCAATTTGGGTGTTCGTCTTTAATTAACTCACTCCTCTCGGAAACAAGGAGCTCTTTACTAATTAATTATTCATGAGTGAAATACCGTAACACACCAATTACCAGATATCTTAAGATTAAGCTCATTTGTTGTTTCAATGTGTATGGAGAAAGGAAAAGACAACGTCCATTAATCCTTGTAGTTTTTCGATGATTATCAAGTCTTTAAAACCAAACTACATCTTTTCACGACATTTCATTAATATTTAACTTCTTTAAATACAAATCGACAATTAGACGTTTAAATTCTCACACACAATGCCCCTACAGATAAAGTTTTTGGGGGATTTTCGAAAATAGGTATAAAGGTGAGCAATCAAAATAAAAAAGATCCAATCAAACATTAAGGGTTTTTTTGTGTGTCTATTTCAGCCGATAATCAAGTAACATTCGAACTGGCTTTTTCTTTTTAAATACTCAAATTGTTAAAAGTGTTCTAAAATTGTAACTATTTTAAGTCCAATCCTGCACATAATTACAAGCTTATGGGGGTTTTATGTGATATTTTATGAATTAGTCAATTCCACGTGACTAGTAAATGATCAAAAGATGATCCTATAATCCCTTTGTAGAAAAAAGGGTGTCACTCCTTTTAAAACTGACGCAACATCATACATTAAAGGGAGGGGTTATTTCATTATATTATAGTATTTATATATGTATAATTATTATTATTCAAAAGCATATGTGGGTTATTTTTCATAGATGACTGACATTATGGTGACCTAGTGTATAATTGTGAAAATGACACATTGTGAAACAGTATGACCATTAGAAATCTACACCCACATGCATAGACCTATAGGCTCTGTTATGAGTGTTGGTGTAATATTACTCGGTATATCTATTGGTAGGAAGGCTGTAATTAATAGGTTATCCTCGAAAAGGTCAAGAATGGTGGTACTTGAATTAAATATGTTTTCCCCGGGAAGATGAAAATATGTGACATTTTCTGTCTGAAAGTGTGTTTGGTCGAATGGAATAGCATCCTGTAATAACAATATAACCAGGATAACAAATCAACGTAATTACAAGGTTCCGCAACAATAACTATTTACTTCCCAGGATTAATTAATCGATAAAATTGATTTCATGAATGATGGAATACTTACCTAAATATACAAAAGGCAAGACTTCTGACGCTATTGCGGTCTCTATGGCTGGTTCTACGATGGTCATTGTTGGGCTGACCAACGGACGGCTGAATTCGTGATTTTTCGTACTGTAGCACAATTCACTATGGCGACTACAGAACTCTTTTAAACCCCCTGGAAAATAAGAGAAGAAAAAAACGTTTACAAATCATACTACAGGATTTATTAATAAATCTATAAAGAACGATTGAAGTTCGATTGTGCACAAGATAACGCCATCCAAGCGGAACAATGGACGTCATAAGCGATGAGGATACATTTATGGATACTGTGTGTGGAAAAAGGTTCTAGATGGGATTCCATACGCTATTATATTATGAATTTGAATTAAAGGACATGCAAGCTGTTGACGTCATTTAACCCTGTTCGTTTCAATTTCTTTTATGACTCATGCTTTTAAAAATGTTAAAAGTCTATCAACATTTATATCCTCTATGTGTAACGTTGACACATCCCTTAAACAGTTGTGATTGTTTCACTGGATAATGACCTCTATAACAATAACTATCCAGTCATTTAATGAATATTATATATCTGATTTCATTGCTACCAGCATTGAGCGACACATATTCTATCAATAGGAATCGTATAGTGACAAGCGTTAACGAAATTAACACCAAATGTGTCGAATGTGAGAAGTACCTTTGGTTGCTACAGGCGAAACGTACATCGTTATCTGATCTGAAGGAAACGATAAGTAACAAGTAACGGATTCTCTTTACACAATTTCTCCAAAATTTAACATTTAATTGCAGAACATGCGTGCGCTATATGTAATTAGAAATCAGTCAAGACTTTGACTTCACCCCATTCCAGACAACTCGTGGATGAGAGACGATTTACTTTATCGCTTGACTTCCACGTCTTCACCGGTGATTTATCATCTTAAAGCCATTTCTCTAGTTGTCTGTACGCAGTCCTTGGTGGCATCTATCTATATTAGGCCAATATATATATGTACAGTTTGTACACCGTGTGTCGATGACTCATAGGTGACTCGAGGTTCATGAACTTTGCTTCTAGACTTTTATTAAGACCAGCTCTCGTGGTCAGTGATAACACTGACCATATGAGATGGTTAAACCCTAAGCCCACTACCTATCTCAAATAAAATCTATATTATTACTTATTAAAGACCTATATTTTATAGCCTATAATGTCTCACTCGTTCATAACTTGCAAATTATGAATTTCAAATTGCGACTTTATTATAACCAATACAAATATTTTTCACTGTTCTTCTTTCCAAATGTGCAAGGAAAAAATAGATTTTTATTTTACAATTTCAACCTTTTTGCCTGAAAAATTATCTGCATCTCGGTGAGCATCCACCGCATGTTGAAATTCACAATCATTGCAAAAACAAGCCAACATGTAATTTCATCACGTCATTATTCGCTTATTTTTCCGATCGACACTTTTTTCACACCGATCAAAAATGCATTAATGCGCAAAACCACTCTTAACAAGAGTGGAAAAAACTGATCGCCGAACTCCCGCAATGCTGCAGAATGCACCATAATTATTTTATTTCTTGTTCAAACATTCCATCATGGCTGACACGTTTCATCGATTTGTATATCAACCTAGCAAACTTAGACATAAAAAAGGGGAAATTGGAAATTAGAAAAAGTGTCACAGCTTGGTAATTTACAACTAGAAAATCTCAATGGTACACTAATTAATACGAATATGAAGTGGATGATTTACATATTATTTACATAAGATACCGATACCTTGAGATCAATTCGTTATTATTAAAGTACAGCAAAAGTTTGTTCTATAGCCGTGTCATCTCTTCCAAATAGAAGTGGTATCGAGTGTTCTAATCAATTACAATTGATATATTATTATTTATAGTACTGTAATTAATAATATTGTTTAGATAATAGTTGAGGTTACACCTTTATTGTATGCCATAATTATAATTGAGTGTTTATTGTTCTGTCTATAACTTATATAAAGAACACGTTTACAGTTTTACTGTCAAATTGTAATAAGTATACATACAATGTATATCACTGTCATCTCGTATGACTCACACAGGCATTGTACTTCATACTTATGCTTTAATATTTCGACATTTTTCAAGGAAAGGTATTCGATCCTCCACTGGGCTACACGGATTAATATTAATAAGTCATTAAACCGTGGAATGAAAGCGGACATAAAATGAATAATAGTTGATAGAATAATGGGATAATCAGTCTTTCCAAAACATATCCTGTGTTTAGTAGCTCACGAGACAACGAGTTATCAAAGTATAGAAGTAAATGATATCAAATCATGTGATTGGTGTATAATATCTGACCTATATATTACCATGTTATATTTACGCTGTCTTTCGCAAAATTTCGTCTAGATTTCGATATGTCAAGATAAAACTATATGGTTCGATTTATATTCCTATCTTATCATTTTATCTACCCAACCAGCTTTATATAGCCTAAATTACAGCGTACGAATGCACTTTTAAAAGATTTAAATAAATGTGAATTTGTACTAAAGTTTGTATCCTTCTGTGAAATGCTTGAGTCATGGCATATTGTGTAATACGTCATTGTTTGTGCGTGTCAGTCTTATTATATAACAACACATTAGGTTTTTGAAAACCGCCTTTAGCGTATAGTAAGTACTTGGTACTATGAAGGCAGCTTTAACTAAACTCTTTTCATCAAAGACGGGGTATAGAATATCTTTTATAATGCCCCATGGCTTAATCAGAAAAAGGGGGTTGAAGAAGGGGGCCATGTGCAAGGTTTTGTGAGTCATTCGTCCAGAACCAGATAGCCGAAGTTTTAACCCAGTTGGCATAATGACGAGTTACCCACAGTACACATTTTTCTAATTCTTCACATGATGGGGAGTAATCATGACTAACAGCATAGTCACTCTAGAAATGGTCTGAGTCTATGTGATTGATAGGTGTATATTTCATCTTTTACTTAGATAGATGTACCGTAATAGTTAAACAAAAGATCTGTAATAAATCAAGAAGTCGGGCTGAGATGAAACGTGCTTGACAACTTTATATGACTAGTATACGATTGTTTCAAACTTTCCTTGAAAACAATTTAATCTTGACGGAAATTCACAAACTAAATGACGTCGGCTTACTCATATTAAAAATAGTTGATGTTTACATGTATAATCAAAAAAAATCAGGCTATATATCCCCCGGGCACATGTAAGTAAAATGTTCAAATTATTGATTAGGCTTGAGTGACACGTTATTCCTATGGCTAGTCCCTTTGACGTAAAAGTACTCGTTTAGTTAAGTCTACACTTCGATACTTACAGCTAATAATCTAGAAAGTAGCTTATGTTTTGGCGGTCATATGTCAATTTCCCTTTGTATATTTCCATCGTTGGTTGACAGTGTGTAAATAAAACGACGTGGCAGGCGCGTTATTATGACTGTAAAAGGGAGTTAAGTGGGGATCGCTGGACATCGATGTGTTACTATTATACTGTCACCCAGTTAGTGTGAGTCACTGATTTTAGTCTCCCACTACTAATAATTATGAATCAGTCACATACAGTGATTAATAAAAAAAAAGACTTATTATGACTTGAATATGAACAAAACCAAACGTGATATATGATATATTTCCTCGATCACATTACAATTTATTGGTAACATCCTACATTATATAACAATTATTATGTAATGGCTTGTTCTACCCAATGTAACTCAATAAAAGTTATTGTTGTCATTATTGCAGTGTAACGAACATGTTGGTATTACATATTTAATTCCAAATATACTTAATAAGTTTGTATATATTTATAAAAGTTTAATATATTTGAATAAGTATAAAAGTTACTTACCTTTTAATATGTGTGGATCCTTGCCTTCCCTGAGAAGAGTATTTATAACAATATTTATTGGACTGTCTTTAGTTGTTTCCCGTAAGTCAGATGTGTGGTCATCGTATATCACAATGTCTTTATTATTTTTCTTTTTATACATATCGCGCCCTTCTCTAGTGCTCACTAAGTCTATTAAACTTTTTTGTCCCTGCTGAAGTCTTTTCCTGCAAAATCCAGCGATGCTGACATTCACAGCACCCTGTATATGTTTAGCATCGAACACAAGCGTGGAACGACAGTCTATTACCAAGAGGGGCTTGGATTTGGTCAACTTTGAGGCCAGTTCGTCCGGTAAGATTGTCCTCGAATTTGAGGTGCTGTTGAGATTCGGTCGTATGGCAGCGTTCAAGGTGGACATCTCAAACTTGCATTTCTTTGGTCGGTGAGGGTCTTCAGAATGTTGTCCAACAGACTGTGAGAACGCCGAGATGTCCAGCTTCAGGCCGATTCTGCGACGGTTTGGCAGTGCGTGGTGATTAATGCTTGTCGGCGTCAAAACCTCGACTTCACCAGACTCAGGCATTAGGATGGATGATTATATATATATATATATGTACCCGTTAATGATATCCAGAAAAAATAACTCCCCCAACTCCAAAACAACGAAGTTGGCCTTAATCCAAACTAGCACTGAACATAACAAAGTCTGGTACAACGGTTTTCTGCAATTACAACCGCAGTAGAATATGATATAATTAGCCTGTATTATACAAAAAGTATCCGTGAAGCAAACTCAATTCCAATCGCTCACTCTCTCACTCCGATGAAGCTAAATTGATATCACACCATAGCTCTTTGCAGAAGTAAACAAATCTATATTATATATAATACACAGCGGTGGCGATGTTAACGCTTCTCTGTACCTAATTCATGTGAGCCATGGCATGTGAATGAACTCAATAAATACTTCGCCTATCAGCTGCTTTCGGGATGATGTCATTGTTTACTTCTATTTTAAGAAACCATGATGTCATTTTAACGCGTAGTGCGCATGTGCCACTTAGACCTTGCGGCGGAGAGCGGAAAATACCGAGAAAAAACGAACACGCGGTCTGCTCGTTGTTAACGTAAACAAATGTGAGCCGAGTCTATGAATAGACCCACCTTATATGACAAATGGCCCTAGCCAGGAAACGTAGATGGTTATATAGAGAATTATAGTGGGTATTCTAGCAGGTGTGTATTATTTTGTAGATTTGAAAACCGCGTTGCTACAACACTGTGATGAGCCATCGACACTGTGGTTTTTTTTGTTGTTTTTTTTTAATTACGTACTTTATAAATATATCAAACCACTCCTATTTTGGACATCTTACTAATTAATTGATAAAACTTGCGCTGTTGTTGTTTTTTAAATGAGTATATAAACCGAAATGATGTTTCGATACCTATATACTTTGGATGCTGATAATAAACGCATATTCCAGAAACGTCTGTGAAGCGTTCTATGGACTGACTGTGCTTACTTCTTTGGTTTGTTTGCACTGCATTTTGATACTGTGAATTCTCACATGGCATTAACAATGCTTGACCGATATTCTATTTATACGGAAATGCTTCCGGTAGATAACATTTTGCATGGCCATTACTTCAAAAAAAGATAGACTTAAAATATAAATAAAGTGGCAAAACAATTATGAAGAATAAAAGAAAAAAACTCGGAAGAGAGAGAGAGAGAGAGTTTAACGTCCACTCGCGAGTTCAATTTTATTTCAATAAATCGCTTTCGTGTAGGAGTCTTTGACAGTGGGAGGAAACCGGAGGACCCGGAGAAAACCCACGAGGATGGACAGGCGACCCTACTCCTTGTCACGTACAACCGGGGAATCGAACCACGCCAGTTGACTCAATGACAGACCTTATGATACAGCGCGCACGTGCTAACCATTCGCCCCGCCCCCCCCCCCCAAACTAAAAAAACAATCTTTATATATATAAAGAAAATAATTCAAAATATAAAATTATTTCTGAAAATTATCTTATTATAAATCAGCTTATATAAACAATCTGTTGTTTTGTACGATGTCTGTTTTCCATTATGGAATTATCCGCGATATGTATTATGAATCCAATATTGTCTATTACGTAGAATTATAAATATCGGTCAGGGATTTTGTTGCCTGAGATTTTTTTGTGACTTGGGTGCGGCAACATGCAAATTTCGAGTGCAGATAGTTTATTGACCGAATTCTTTTATTTGGAAATTAAAACTATAGTATTTTATTAGGAAACCCACAAAAATGTCTTTTAATTACAATATTTCAAAATTTGTTGTCTTCAACTGTGAAAAAGTAACTCGGGCGAAAAATAATCTTAGGGGACTTTATTTTATGATTTTTTCCCAAACACGTACCGGTTCTAAAAATGAACCTTCTTTAATCGTTTGTATGTTACTTTTGGATATACTAATAAAGTGTTATATATGCAGTGTATGTAGCGATATATTGTATATAAGTCCTAAAAGAAGTAAACCGCGTAAACGGACCTCCAACTGTCATTGGTGAACAGGGGGGGGGGGGGTACTTTCTGGACAATACCGTGATCGAACACAAGCGCCCTACTCACTGATCCCCCACCCCACCCCGTTAAAACAAGTAGCTACTGTCAGAGAACTTTGGTTTGCAAACCATATATGAGATTAAAGGAATCAGCATCTATTTTAAAGAACTATGATGTGGATATTTATATTTTTAAAATCTAAAAAACAAGTTTTAACATCCTGAGCTAATGTCAAAAAAAAAAGGAAAAACAAAACAGAAATGTTCATAACCCAACATGTCCATATCTACAGCATCATTTCCAAATTGGCATTTATTTATTGTGATTAATTTATACATGACTCTAAATAGATTCCACATACTTTACGTGCTGTTTAGAACGTAGACAAAACAAATTCTCGGAATATCTATTTGGAAACAATGGCGATCCCGTTGATCATGATTAATAAGCTAACACTAATGAAATAGTATCCTTACTGCAAACTTGTACAAAAGAGCTTAAATAGCATGTCAAGGATGTGCAACAGTTTTCGGGGTTCCACCAACCAACACAGACTTGCGAGGAATTTCACTAAACAGGAAACAGCGTGGGAAATCTTTACTTGTCATTGGGGATTACGTCACACATTTCTCATGATTCTGTTATTGTTTACAGTATTATCAAAATGTAAACCGGTTGTTGACATTCCTAATACTTGATATTATTTCGACATGGCAATGCCTTTTGATACAATAAATCACTATTATACATGAATACTCAATTTCATGTATTCAAGTCCGAGTTTTGTCGTCGAATTGCTATAAATACATAAATTCTCCCATAAGGCATTTGATTTACTGACGTCGACATGAAATAAGTGTTACAGGATAGTATGATATGAGACAATGAACTCGTGACTATTACTGGTTTTCAGGATTCCATTTTAAAGGATGATAAATAAATGTTTTTTTAAATGATCGGTCACAGACTTGCGTACATTGTTTCGTGTGTTCTATTTTTAGAACGGTTCCTGGCTTTGGTGCTATAGAAACCTCAAAAAGGCTGATGTCATAAAGTTGCCGATATGACCAGAGGTATCCAAATTACATATGATACCTTAGGGATTGAACCCAGTATAGTTGACATTTTCTTAATAATGTGTTAACCCATGGCTATTGCACTCGAAAACTGACTTCCACAAAAATATATATTTTTTGTAAAGTACGGTATGTATTTAATGAGGTGATTAAGATTTACTGTTTATTGCTTTTTTTTTTCTTTTATTTTCTATTAAACAAAATATCGAAATTTATAAACGTAATGGTGGACAACAACACGCCGCCTCTTCGTTATCATGGTAATAGATTTTAGTACCATCCAACATTGATTGTTTTTCAGAGTAAATAAATATAAATACGCCAGAAAATAATTTACATATTTGAAAAGAGCAATGTCGTTATCATGCACTTTTTTCCTTTGATAACGATAAAAGATCAGTTGTTAAAACGTCGTGCTATATGTGTCAGTGCTTGTTTTCCGTATATAAATTGTGTTCCTTTTTTATCGCTTAATGCCACTCAAGGATTAAACTTATACTGAACAAAATAACCCTGAGAAAATGCAAAATGTATTGAACAAAAATATGTATTATCGAACTATTTGATTGAAGAAAAAAACTCTAATCTTATTGGATAGAAATACCGTTATTGTACAAAAAGTGTGTTGAAATAAAAATAACTTTAACAAAAGGAAGCGTATTGTTGAACAAAACTCATCATTGTACAACAAAAATTTAACTATGTTTATTTAAATAAAACGTATCTTTGTGGAACAAAACGTACATAATTTGTGGAAAAAATTGCAGTAATGTGGAACAAAATATAGCTTTATTTATTTAAACAAAAAATGTCCTTGTAGAAAAATTAACCTTGTTAAACCAAGTGTGACTTTGTTGTTTAATAAAGATTAAAATGTAACCTTGATTAACTAAGAACAAAATGTAACTTTGTTCAATTAAATAACTTGGTTTAACCAAGAACAGAAAGCAAATTGGTTTAAATAAGAACCAGTTTAACATAGGTTATCTTTGTTAAAACCAAACTTAGTCTATTGACAACATACGTAAAACATTCCCAAAGCTTTCAGTTTGGTAAAAATAGTATGCATCTCTATTTTACTTACTATCATCTTTATTATTGGATCATTGTTCAACGTAGATATCATATATTGATCATCTAAATAAAACTTATACAATGGAAGAATATAAGTTTGTTTTTGTTTATATATACACAGAGTCTTCCTTTTGGAGTATAACAACAGCACTTTTTGTTTTGTGTGTGTAGGGATTTTTCTTCGAAACCGTTTGAAATTAGCACAAATTAAAACAAATAGCCTAGTGTGTTAATGTAAGTAGTGTTTATAATAAAAACAGTTAACTCATTACTAATTTTGTCAATATACCTACACACACGTACCTGTAATTATATGTGAATAAGTGAATTATTTGTTATTACAGCACGTATAGAACACACAATAAAAGGCATATACCGCTAAGTTCTCATTTTCTCACAATGTGATTATTATTTATATAAGAGGTAAAGGATATAGGATGAGTCAGGTTTGAACGAGACAACCTCCATCTCTATACGATATCTAATTTACTCATAATATGCAGATAGAAGAAGGGACGGGACGTCAACTGCTGAGAATACTGAAATAAGATACTATAGCTTACAGATCTCGCCAAAAAAAACCAACAACTATAATTGCCGTTAATATTTCTCAAGAATTACACAAGAGTGAATAATTATAAATAAATCTGAGAGTCCTATCAATATTGTTTAGTTATTTAAACTTTTTAAACCGATCCTTATTAATCTCGATCGTAGAGAAAAAAAACCCACACATAAAATCACCGATATGATTAATATAATAAGATATATTATTTTTTTTATTAAAAGTACGTCGTCATCCAACGATCCAAATCTCAATTATGTTTCTTAAATAACAGTAGAAAATCTCAATGTGTGTTTTTTTTAAATATAAAAGTAAATCTCAATGTATTTCTTTAACAAAGTAAATAACAAGTAATCACAAGTGGGTATTATAGAAATACTACTTATTCTAAAGTTTTACGCAAGTTTCTAAAATAATGAAATAAAACTGCAAATTACTTTCAAATGATGTGTCTTGGTAATCAAAGAAATCCTACTTTCATTAAAAGATAAAGTTGGCCAGTAATGTGTGTTTCTTTATTTATTGCCTCCTCTCCCAATTACAGGATTTCGCAAGGATTTACTATTTTGGTTGCCTTTACATATGTTGGGAGGCGTAAGAAGGTGTGAGGCTACACAGTGTCAAATGTTTGAGTGGTCAGATGGAGTCACGATCTGATCATAGACTCCTTAATATC